CCCAGTATCACTCCCAGTGCTCCCAGTATCACTCCCAGTACTCCCAGTATCACTCCCAGTTCCTCCCTGTGCTCCCAGTATCACTCCCAGTCCCTCCCAGTGCTCCCAGTCCGTCCCAGTGCTCCCATTATCACTCCCAGTCCCTCCCAGTGCTCCCAGTTTGCTCCCAGTCCCTCCCAGTGCTCCCAGTTTGCTCCCAGTTTCCTTGACGCCGCAGTTACGGGTACCGGGGCCGGGACTCGCGCTCCAACCTGCACGTGCTGGGCTCGGGGGAGCTCGTCTACTTCATCGCCTGCGTGGTGGTGCTGCTGCAGCTGCCGGCGCGGCGCCAGCGCCACTACCTGCGCCACAGCGACTGCGTGCGCTGGTGAGGGCCCTGAATATCCCTAAATATCCCTAAATAACCCCAAAATATCCCAAATCCCAAAAAAACCCCGTTAGAAACACCCCTGTACTGCCTCGTGTCCCTCAAACCGCCACTACCTGCGCCACAGCGACTGCGTGCGCTGGTGAGGGCCCTGAATATCCCAAAATATCCCTAAATAACCCCAAAATATCCCTAAATATCCCTAAGTAACCCCAAAATATCCCAAAATATCCCAAAATATCCCTAAATAACCCCAAAATATCCCAAATCCCAAAAAAAACCCCGTTAGAAACACCCCTGTACTGCCTTGTGCCCCTCAAACCGCCACTACCTGCGCCACAGCGACTGCGTGCGCTGGTGAGGGTCCTAAATATCCAAAAATATCACTAAATAACCCCAAAATATCCCTAAATATCCCAAATCCCAAAAAAAACCCCGTTAGAAACACCCCTGTACTGCCTTGTGCCCCTCAAACCGCCACTACCTGCGCCACAGCAACTGCGTCCGGTGGTAAGCATCCTAAATATCCCAAAATATCCCTAAATAACCCCAAAATATCCCTAAATATCCCAAATCCCAAAAAAAAAACCCAAAAAACCCCATCAGAAACACCCCCGTACCTCCCTGTGCCGCTGCCTGTACCCCTCAAACCACCATTGCCCTGCGCCTCAGCGACTGCATGCACTGGTGAGCATCCTAAATATCCCAAATATCCCAAAATAACCCCTAAAAATCCCCAAAATATCCCAAAATAACCCTTAAATATCCCTAATCTCCAAAAAAAACCCATTAGAAACACCCCTGTACCCCTCAAACCTCCACTACTTGCGCCACAGCGACTGCGTCAGGGGGTGAGGGATCCTAAATATCCCAAATAACCCCAAATAAACCTAAAATCAACCAAAATAACTCCAAATAAACACCAACAAGCCCAAATTGCCCCCAACCCCCCCAAACCGGGGTCACCTCCCTGTCCCCCCAGCCTGGCCGTGCACCCCGACCGGCTCCGCGTGGCCACCGGGCAGGCGGCCGGAGTGGACAAGGACGGCAAGGTGGGACCTTGGGGACCTTGGGGACACCTTGGGGACATTGGGGACACCTTGGGGACACCTTGGGGACACCCCTGGGACACCCCTGGGACACCCCTGGGACACCTTGGGGACATTGGGGACACCTTGGGGACACCTTGGGGACACCTTGGGGACACTGGGGACATTGGGGACACCCCTGGGACACCTTGGGGACACCTTGGGGACCTTGGGGACACCTTGGGGACACCTGGGGACATTGGGGACAACCCTGGGACACCTTGGGGACACTCTGGGGACAGCCCTGGGGGCACCTTGGGGACATCTTGGGGGCATCTTGGGGACATTGGGGACACCTTGGGGACACCTGGGGATACCTTGGGGGCATCTGGGGACACCCTGGGGACATTGGGGACATCCCTGGGACACCTTGGGGACACCTTGGGGACACCTGGGGACATTGGGGACACCCCTGGGACACATTGGGGACACCTTGGGGACACCTGGGGACATTGGGGACACCCCTGGGACACCTTGGGGACATTGGGGACACCTTGGGGACACCTTCAGGGCATCTGGGGACATCTCTGTGACCTTGGGGACACCCCTGGGACACCTTGGGGACATTGGAGACACATCGGGAGCAGCCCTGTGGGCAGTCCTGGGTGCCCTGGGACACCTTGGGGACATTGGGGACACGTTTGGGACACCTTGAGGGCATCTGGGGACACCCTGGGGACATCCGTGGGACCTTGGGGACATCCTGGGGACAAGGGGGATTCCTTGGGGACATCCTGAGGACACCTTGGGAACACCCCTGGGAACAGGGCCGGGGCCCCAAACTGCCTCGCCCATGGTGTGAAACCCCAAAATCTCCTAAAATCCCTCCCAGAATCCTCCCAAAACCCCCCCAAAATCCCCTCAAAATTCCCTAAAATCCCCCAAAATTCCCCAAAATCCCCCAAAATCCCCCAATCCCCGCCCGCAGCCCCTGCAGCCCATCGTGCACATCTGGGACTCGGCCACGCTCCAGACCCTGCAGCAGATCGGCCTCGGCTCCTTCGAGCGCGGCGTGGGCTCGCTGGCCTTCTCCACGGCTGTGAGTGCCCCAAGACTGCCCCAAACACCCCAAAAACACCCCAAATATCCCAAAACACTCCAAGCCCCCAAAATACCCCCCAAATCTCCTCAAAACCCACCAAAATCCCTCCAAAAATACCCCAAAAATGCCCCAAATACCCCCAAAAACACCCCAAACGCTCCAAAATAACCCAAAACCACCCCAAACCCCCCAGATCCCTCCAAGAACCACCAAAATACCTCCAAAAACACCCCAAATACCCCAAACACCCCAAAACCACCCCAAATACCCTAAACACCTCAAAAACTGCCCCAAAATATCCCAAAACCCACCTCAAATACCCCAAACACCCCAAACCCCCAAAATACCCCAGAAAACACCAAAATATCCCCAAAAACTGAGGGAATTTGGGGTTTTTTTTTGGGGTGCCCCCATCTCCCTGAGCCCTGTGGGGGCTGCTGAGGGGATTTGGGGTTTTTGGGGGGTTTTTTTTGGGGTGCCCAGGACCAGGGCGCGTTCCTGTGCGTGGTCGATGACTCCAACGAGCACATGATGTCGGTGTGGGACTGCGCCCGCGGCAC